CACACACACACACACACACACACACACACACACACACACACACACACGGTAGCCACTCACTGCTGTCCTTCAGTTTTCATTTTGAGATACCCTGCTTTTCTCCCCAGTTTTCCCTCCTACTTCATCTCCATTCTGTTGTCTTTGAATTTGTTCACATAAGTGCCATGTGTTCTATGGTGGTTCTGATTTGACTCCCTGAGTTGAAATCTACTGTCAGAGTTAAGCAGGCATGGAAGAGGACCCTGGGAAGAAGCGGAGCAGGAAGCGCCAGCCATGTACTGCCCAGCTAGATAAACGTATCATTGGCAGGAACTTGTAATACATTTTACGGCTTCACAGTCAAACATAGTTGGGAAATATTAAATGGAAAGTTCCAGAAGTTTCATGCCAGTTTGAGGAAAATAATGAAGTCAGGAATAATCTCTCTCTCCATTCTGCCCAGAATGTTAATCGCCCTTTGTGTAATGGGTCCGTGCTGGGTACACTCTTTGCCCAGTAGTCATTTAGTTTATATACATATTCATATCCTTGGTTTATACACATATTCATTCATCATACCTCAGCATCTGTGTTCATATAAAACTTGTTTCACTATAGAGGCCCCGAAACAGGAGAGTAATGACACTAGCAGTTCTGATAAGCCAACGAGCTAAAGTGAAGGACGAAAGGAAACAAGATGGTGGTGTCACTGAGCTCCACAGTAAGAACATGCTTTTGAAATCGTGAAAAAATTGTGCAACCGTTGATACCAAGCAAATCTGCAAAAGTCATGGCCATTGTGCAAGGAGCAATACACGTTTTTCCAATAATAACTGAATATTAATCCCAGCACTTGAGAGGCAAGTGGACCTCTGTGAGTTTGAGGCCAGTCTGATCTAGCTAGTGAGTTCTAGGACAGTCAGGGCTACATAAAGAAATCTTGGAGAGAGATGCAGGGGTGGGAGGATTGTGATGAAGAGGGAGAGATGGAGAGACCAGCCAGATAGATTAGAAAACAGAATCCCTCTTTTTGCTGCCTTCAAAAAAATAAAAATTAAATTAAAAAAAAACTCACCAGCAGAGAGAAACACTATCTTTGGGTAAAAGGATAAAAGAAAGTATTCCAAGCAGCCACTGGGACTAGGAAGCAAGCAGGCATAGCTTGCTTTCTTCTAATATCTGACAAAATAAACTTTAAAACTGGTCAAAACAAAATGAGAGCACTCGATACTTATCAAGGTAACAATCCACTGAGAGAAAATTATAATTCTAAACACATGTGCACCAAATACAGGCTCATTCAATTTCATAAAAGCAAGAACTATTAAATCACAGAGTAACCCCAAAATAGTGACTTCAATACCCTCCCTTCATCATTACACAAATCAGCTGGACCCCCCTCCCCCCCAAAAAAAAAGAATAAACATTGGATTTAAAGACACCATAGGTCAAATATAGACCTAACATCTATGGAACATTCACTCAAATCCTAAAGACTACACACCACAGCCTCAGCAGCCCATGGAGCCT